GTTTTAATTTCTGTAGTAGTTTACGATAATTTTGTTGTTCAAAATCAAATTTATTTTTTTGTATTTGACATTGGTTAGCTCTTTGTAGAAACGATTTAGTTAAGGAACTTAAATCATTAGCCAAAGTCAGCTCTTTCGTGTTTAAAACACGTATATCGCTTTCACTAGTGGCTTCATATTCCTTGTGTTCATTCATAAATTTCTTTTGATGCTGATAAACATCAGTAATACGATGAAAAAATGTTTCTACATTACTTGCAACGTTCATAGAATTGATAGATTTTGGTGGTAAAGAGTAATCTAATCCATTGGCGAGACAAATAAGTTCTTCATTCGATAGTACGCGTGATGATAGATTAGTTACGACCGTTGCATTATAATAACGAGTTGAGTTATTAACAGGGCTCAACGATAATAATTTTTTATTTAATCTTCTTCGTTTTTTATCTATTAAATATGAGCATTCCGATATAATAATTTTAAATAAATGTTCGAAGTAATCAGCAGATGATGATTCACGAAGATGATTCAGTGAAAATCATACATTATCTTTAATTCATTTAATTTTTTACGTTTTGCATCGATTTCGACGTTGAGAAGTTTACGTTGGCAAGCTTTATATACTGGTGAAGACGATAGATCATTGTTCGCTGTTTTAAACCATAAGAACGATGGGATAATATCTTTTGCACGGCATATTTTTAAAAATTCGATGTCGAGTTGAACAGCATCCACACGATAGTAAAATTTCTTGACATTACGATAAGTGTATAAAAAATGACTTCCATGATGTTGACGGATGTAATCATCGATATCTACTGTAGGATATCTATTTCGAGTATTAGACAAATTCATCATTGAAGTAAATCGAAAATTTCAATAATTCAAGAAGCATTGACGATATAAATTTTCTAGAAGTTTAATCTAAAACGAAAGCAGAAAAAATGATTGTATACACAAACCCCGACCATAAAAAAACAAACATCTTTCGACTAATCAGATTTCATACGAGACCCCCATAAAATTTATTCAAACATAAAATATCACCAATGGTAGCATAGATAACGCACACACAGTTCGATCCCAGACCAACGCTATCAGCCACAAACAAATTCAGCGAAACAACCGAGAGAACGAAAGAAAATTCAGCAATCACCTCGTACACATACAGAATAGACATAGATATACCGTCCTTCTAAAACAAATAATCCCTATATATTCGTCAAAACACACATATCACCATTCATCTTTCCAAAAAACAAGCATTCTCCTTTCATTTCAGATCCTCATCATCTTCATCAACAACAACCACGAAAAATACTCAACAATAAATCAATTGTTCAATTACCATATTCGATATCACTCCTGCAAGTTCCACTATTATTAGTCTACAAACACAAAATCCACGTTCTCTTATAAAAAGGGATGTATTATTTACACCCACTACTAACAAGATTACTTTCTTTTCTTTATTTAGAAAAATTTTTAATTCCATTTGTTATAAACGTGATACAAGTCAATAAAATATTATTATTATTGTTATTGGACATGTATTAGCTTTGGTTGCTACCAATGATTTTTGAATCATTATGACTGTTCGTATTTCTAACAATCGTGGTACACATGCAGGCACTACTATAACTATCTGCATTAGTAAAGCTGGTGCTAAAAATATAAGAATTATTGTTATTATTATTACTTCCTATAAAGGTGGTACAGGTCGAGAACTTACTATTATTATCAATTCTGATCGTGCTTCAATTGTTCTTGTTGTCAATGCTCTTGTTATTCTTATTCTTATTATTAATATTTGTACATGTCGTACTTACATCGATTATCGAACATCAAACTCAATCACAATCAAATTTTTGTTCTGATGATGGTCTTCTATGGCCCAATATTCAACCAAAACAAAAGAATATTTTATTCAACTTGATGGTAATTGTTAATTTCATTAAAAATTGAAATAAAAAAAAAATTTTGTAGAAAGACTAAAAAAGATAAATTCATCATTGATTTGTTTGAATTTCATTATGATGCTTTACTCATTCTTAATATTTTCTATTGATAAACAAAAATCCAAATTATTTTATGTAAAAAATGTATGTATTATTTATACCAACTATTACCATAGGTACTCTCTGTTCTCTATTTAGAGATATTCAATTGTATTCGTCACCGAGGTGTTCCAACTAAAGGAATCATTATTACTATTCTTATATGGTTATCTATTACCTATGGTTCTTCGCAATGGTCATCGAATTACTATTCTTATTCTTTCTATTTGTTATCATGCTGGTACAGCTCCAACAATTATTCTTATTGTTCATACTGATAATGATGGTCGTACAACTGAAAAAAATTTTATTATTACTTGCATTGGTAATGATGGTGGTAGAGATCATCAATTTATTATTATTATTATTATTAATTCTTGCTCCTCCTGCACTTGGTATTGCAGTCAATGGTACTGCAATTCTATTTAGAAAAATCTTTTTTACAATTGTAGGATTTATGAAGGTGGTTTAGGTCAAACAACAATTGGCTTTATTGTTAATGGTGGTGTATTCACTATTGGTATTGGTCTTGTATCAATTTTATGTGGTGGTAGAGTCTTAATGTCAATGGCCTGATTATCATTATTATTATTATTATTACTATCTGTTGCACTTGGCGTATCTATCCTATTCGATCAACACCACATTCAAAATTCTATTACAATCTGTTCTGATGATGGTCTCAAAGAAAGAAAAAAATGGCCGAAAATTCAACCAAAAATGAACATTTGACTCATTTTTTATTGTCATTTGTTTTTTCTACATTAAAATTAAAATTAGAATTAGAATTAGAATAAAAAATTCATTGATTTAGAACTCGATACAATCGATAAATCAATTGTTGATTTGTCAAAAATAATTACTGTTGTTTTACTCATTGGTATTAATTTAGTTTTATCTGTTTACAATTGTTGTAAAGGTCTGGCGGAAATGGTCACTCTTGCCCGCCATAATTAGTTCGCATATGATTGTGCACAGCCGAGCATAATTGACCTTGGTATTGACCATTTACTTAATGTTGACCCTCGATGATACAGATGGCTTACCTATTGCTGGCCCTCATACATATTAATCATCTACTGCATGGTGAGCCTCATCAATTTAGATTACCTAATTGATGATTCTCCTTATAGATATCTATTAACTACTCAATGTTGGTGCTTAATATTATAAATGATAGTACGCGAGTGAAAATATCGGGTGAAGGAATAAATACATATGTTTTGGAAAATTCTAGTCTAGAAAGCGTTGGTTGGATAACAGTAAAAATTGTGGGTGTGGGTGGATGATTGGTGCGGATAAAGCAAAGAATCAAAACCACACTCAAACGTACACCCACACTCAGACCCACATCCAAAATGTGCTTGTCTTATTTCGGTGAGCTCTAAACATTATCAATTTATCTCTCGACACTCGGTTAACTAGTATCTGGAGTCGATAAATAAACCTGACATTATCTGTATGATCATCTGATTGTGCCATACCCTGATCTTTTTCTCTGGCTTGTGCATTATGTATTTGCACGGATACATCGTCAGTTGAGCCTTTGACATTTAAGCCCCGACAGATGAGCCTTCACAGATGAGCCTCTCGACATTTGAGCCCTTCCATTTGAGCCCCCGACATTTGAGCCTCTGGTCATATGAGCCTTTGACATTTGAGCTTATCGAATTAATTAACCAAATAATGAATTTATTACAATACAGAAATCAATCATTTCAAAAATTAAGCAAAGCTTCAGCTCTTTTAAAGTATTCATTTCTTGGTTTTATATGAAAAGTGGTGATCAAGTTTTTTCTGAATATATATATATATTGTGGTCAAAAGTAAAATTCAGTCAAATTTAAAATTTCCCTGATCACAAAGTCAGTCAAATATTAAATGTGACTGAGTTTTAATTTTGACCGCAATATATAAATGACAATCAATTCGACGATACTCTTCATAATTGTATATAACGATTTCACATGTCTTTATTGCCCTTTCAAGAAGGTTTACCTGGAGAAGGCTCAGATGTCAAAGGGCCATGTGACCAGAGGCTCAAATGTCGGGGGCTCAAATGGAAGGGCTCAAACGTCGAGAGGCTCATCTGTGCAGGCTCATCTGTCGGGGCTCAAATGTCAAAGGCTCAACTGACGTGTCACCATTTGCACGGACACTTCTTCAATATTCCCTTCTTATACCTCCAATGTTCGCTAATAAGCTTTTTTGTGTCGATGAGTGTTCTCTAGTAAAGTATTATAGCGAACAGCGGGACGTTCTTAGCCAAACGAATAAATAAGAAATTTTCGATGGTATTCATTATCGTATATGCTTTCAAGCGAAGCAGAGCGACCCTGTCATCGCTTACTAGAATCTGAACAGTCTCTATGAGAAAATTGATAAAGCTTAATGTATTTTGCGAGACTCTCATTGATGCCGTGCAATAGAATGGAGCGTTTAGCTAACCAACGAAACCATTATCGGCTTTCTAGAATATCAAAACATTTCGTATTTGTTATGCGAAGCTTCTGACAATTTTGCAAGTCTTACATAATGGTTTCGTATACATTATACGATACTACTGATAGTTCCGTAGCATATCTAAAGGTTCCGAATATGAAACGCAAAACCATCCTTAGTTGCGCAAGCAGTAAAATGGTTTGGTACAAATTGTACAGAACTATTGAAGGTTTCGCAACCTTTATTATGGTTCTGTATACAACATACGAAATCATTGATGGTTTCGTAGGACATCTAAAGGTACTATACCTAGAACACGGAACCACCCTTAGTTCCGCAAGTAGGAAAATGGTTCCGTATACGTTGTACGAAACCATTGATAGTTTCGTAGAACATCGAAGGGTTCCATACGTACAACACGAAACCATCCTTAGTTCCACAAGTAGTAAAATGGTTCCGTACAATTTGTACCGAACTATTGTTGGTTTCGCAACCTTTATTATGATTCTGCACAAAATACATGAAACCATTGATGGTTTCGTAAAGCATCTAAAGGTTCCATATACGTGACACGAAGCCATCGATAGTTCCTTGAATGATGTAATGGTTCGGCATATCTTCTACGAAACCGTGCATAGTTTTGTAAATGTTGCAAAGGTTCCGGAGATTTTTTACGAAACCATTGATAGTTTCGGAACGTCCGTAATAGTTTCGCATGTCTTATACGAAACCATTGGCAGTTGCGCAGAACATCTAAAGGTTTCGTATTAGTTCTACGAAGCTGTTCATGGTTGCATAAGTGCTCTAGTAGTTCCGGAAACGTTATACGAAACTAGCCATGGTTTCGTAAAAGATATACCGAAGCATTAGATTATTTACGAAGCTACGAAAAGTTTCGTAAAATGCATGCCGAACCTTTTGGTGTTTTTCGAAACTTTTGATAGATCGGTATAAGATACACGGAACCTTTGTTTGTTCTACGAAACTATTAGGGGTTTCGTAAAACATCAAAAGGTTCAGTATAAATTGTACGAAACTACTCATAGCTTCGTAAACGATGTAAGGGTTCAGTATATCTTTTACGAAACCACGGCTGGTTTCGTGCAACATCTTCGGAACCATAAGAGCACTTATGAAACTATGAAAGGTTTCGTAGAACTACTACGGAACCTTTAGATGCTCTACGAAACTGTCAACGGTTTCGTACGAAACATACGAAACCTCCGAAAGTTCAGTACACAGTGCACGAAACTCTAGGAGGGTTTCGTCGTGAACCTTCGAAACCTTCTTCGGTTTTTGGAACTTAAAAAGGTTCAGTATGAAGACTACGAAACCTTTTTCGTCCCACGGAACTTAAAATGGTTTCGAAAACCATTGCGAAATCTCCAAAGTTTGGTAGAACACCTATTTTTTTTACAGTGTATTAACATGGTGTACTCTCTGTTCTCTATTTAGAGAAAATTTCAAATTTGTATTGGTTTATGTCTTTTGGTGATACAAATAAATGATTTATTATTTGATATTGGTTATGTTTTAGCTATGGTTATTATATATGGTCTTTCCAATTATTATGATATTGGAAATTGGTCATGAATTTTATTATTATGATTAATTTCTGATCCTGCTGGAATTGGTATTGATGGTAGTTGGTATATAAAATTAGCATTACTATTTTTATTTTATTTTCTTTTTCGTACATGTGGTACTTATATTATTATTCGTACATACGTGTACCTAAATCATTTAATCAACATCATATTCAACTACACTACAAATTCTTGTTCTGACGATGGTCTCGCAATGACCGAAAATTTAACTCAATAGACAAAACAAAGAACATCTAGTTTTCCTTTTTTCTTTCATTTTGATGTTTTGTCATATTCTATTAGAATTAAAATAAAAAAAGAAATGATTTTCATTTAGAAAGAACAAAAAAAGATAAATCAATGGTTGGTTTATCTACAATTTTACTTTATTTAGTTATTTATTTTTTCTGTTGCTTGACTCATTGATGTTAAACTATATTATAATGACGGCCTGTCTCATATATAAACTATGAAATCGTAATAGCAATTTTGAAAGCCTTACGGGAACGAGAATACAACTTTTCCGGAAGCAGGAACGCGGAAGTGCCAAAAAAGAAGTTATTCTCCGCAAGACTCTTGCATATATACAGGATCAGGCACAATCAGACATTAGCGAAGAAAAGAAAACATCGACACATACACCTACATCCGACGTTGTTTTTCCGTCAATAGAACGCCCAAAGTCGATTGAAATTAGCATTTTAGAAAGGAGAAAAAGATTGCAAAACTTTCAAGAATAATAGGAAAGAAATAAAACTCTGTAAATTGCTAACAATTTGTGTTGGGTAAACAACTGTTACTTGCATCGGCCATGAACAATTACGGGGAGCTATAAGAAGTTGAAGAAAAAATCAGTCAGCACTCGCATTGGAAGGTTCAGAAGTATCGATACGCACAGAATGAACACTATCGTTGCTGTTTGTTTGCTCGGTAAGTCTCAGATCGGTATGATTGCAACGAAATCTAGTGTTCTATTAGCTTTGTTCTCTGTATGCTCGGCTCTCAATTGTTATTCATGTTTATCGGGCGGCTCAGGTTGTAATGATCCATTCAATGCATCGGGTTCGGGTGTCACTACAACAGGATCTGTTTCCGGAAATACGTATTGCGTGGTACCTATCTCTTATTTACACTTTACTTACATAGTTGCAGTCTACTTTTCGTTTAGAAAACTATAGCACTAAATGTCGCCAACCGCTACGGCTCATCCATATGTATTTCTGTTGGGTTCACTACCGTCTTGGGTTATACCTCAGGTGCAGCATGCTGCACAACAGATCTTTGTAATGGAGCACGCACCAACAATCAAACATCCATCTTCTTGATCTTGAGCCTCGTAGCCATCTTCATGAAACTTCGATTCTCTTAAAGAACTACAAAAATTTTTCTTTTTCGAGTGTGTTCGTTTTTAATCTTATCTGTGTGCGCTTTCTTGCCAATGGGATCTATCCTGCACTCTTCATTTTTCTTCACCTCAGTCCTATGCCACTCCGTTGATTAAAAATATGTTTATACAAAAATCAGTTAAGAATCATTGCTCTTCTGTAA